GGTATAAAAGGATGTCAGCTTCCTCCAGAGGGACTAGGCAAACATGCACAGGTTCCACACAGGAGGCTAAAATGAAATACATGCTCCTGAGCTCTGCAGAGCAGAGCAACATACACAGGCTTTGTGCAGCTTGCCAGGAAAACGTGTTTGATCAGGATCTTTTTGCCTGTTGATCACTTCTCCACGGTATCTCAGAAACAGGCAGAAAGCAGGTAGTGAGCTGAATGAATTCATCAGGCATGAATAGCAGTACTGCTACTATTTTGTGAGTATCTCACAAAATCACATGCTACACGTAATGGCAAGGGGTAAAAAGCTGCGGAATCTTAGGAAAGAGGAAGAGTGGAAGCAAAATTCATGAATCTAAGGCAGCAGCTCTCTCCTACCAATCAAAAATGGCTCCATCATCTCCATCTTCTTAACACCCTTCTTTCCTAAAGGCATTATGTGCATCTGCTGTTTAGCACACTTATGGCAAACCTACTGCCCCTGGGATTTAGGGCCACTGTTATGTTCCTAGAAAGACCTTCCTGGCCACCCAGTTGGAAAGCAAGAATGCTGCTATGCAGCAAAGACCTCTGTGTTTGGACCAAAATGTGCACTCTTACAAATAATAAACAAAAAACACAAAATAAGAGTAGAAGTCCTTCTGAAGATCCCAGAGGAAGCCACTGTTTGGGAGTTGTTGCAAGTTTGGCTTAAGAGTTACAAGACAGGGAGCTATTAAGGACAAGAGATAATGCAAAGCCTCTGGCTTTTCATGGACCCCAAAGGATCTGGGAAGGGGTCCTGTGGCATATTCTACAGTTAAGAGGAAGCATTTGTACTCTTGACTGAGCAAAGTCAGATTGGAAATCTCACAGAGGTTTTCTCACCAAGATTATTCTAGTCAGTTTTTCCTCTCTCACAAGATTTGGCGAAAGTGAACCATTTGAATAACCTGGCTAGGGAGACGACCAGTGCATCACTGCTTTGCCTTGAACATGCCTACCAGCATAAAAATATATTCCTGTGTTTCCAAGTAATCATTTCAACACTGTACTGGATATCATGTATGTTTCTGTTCTGAAATACAACACTGACCAGCTAGGTATGGATAGCTCATGAATTCTGCAGTAAATACGTTTGCAAAAAAAATTTCAATACATTTGCCCTCTAGTTAAATTGTCCCTGTGGTTATTAAATATATATTTTACATTACAGAATTTTTACCTTAATAGTGAAAGTCCAGCTCCAATATAATTTAAGATTGGTCTTGATACCTCTTCTGGGTCAATTCCAAACCAACCAAACCTGGAATATTTAACCAGTTTCACTTAGGTGCACTGATTGCATACAAATATTTAAATTATAACCCAGTCTTGGAAATCTTTACTCATGTAAATAATTCTGCTTAAGTTTATATTTGCAATATTGGATTGGTGCTTCAGCTGGCTTGCAAAAAGCTATGTCTACTTTACAAAAGTCATCTTTAAACTAATTTAATTTACATTGATTTTTTTTTTAATCTGGGTATCTAAAAATTGAAGTTAAATTCTTTTATCAGCCCATGCTGTAGAAGAAAAAATACAGTGTACTAGTTTTACATTAACAAATACATTATTTATTCACTCAATTATGTTAATGAACATCACTGGGCATTCTTCCTCTTGTTGAGACATAGGAAACATGAAAAGATAAAATAATTAACCTGAGCACTTTGCACTGAGAGGGAAAAAGATCTTATATATATTATAAATCCTCTTTATTGGTGATAGTGTTTACATCGCAGTTATTAATGAAGAAGTGGCAACATTAATTATGTATGACTTAAACATACTCACCTTGAACTTGCCCAACCTGTCAGCAAATTAAAAGAAGCCCATATCAAAAGACCAAGAGCTAAGCCAATAGTTTTAACAATAGGGACAACTGTAACATTGCCTGAAATACAAAAAGAAAAATTAAAATAAGTTAAAAAGTAGACTGTGATCTTGTATATTTTTGCTTCAGATTCTGTGACTGTTCAGAAGGCAAAGAAATTTAGGCAACTACAAGGTGGTAGGAAATAGCGTTTTTTAAAAAATAAATACATTAAACACGGACTTTTCCTCAGTACCATTTTTAAAGTTATTTTTGCTGTGAATTTTCTGTTATAAAATAGGCATAATAAAATAATACTTGCTATAAGGGTACAGCTCCATTAATACTGAGATTTGAAAAAGCCAAATAAATACCACCTTATATATGGAAAAGTTTTATCACTTTTTTTTTTTTTTTTATTAAGAGTTAGGATTATTTTGTTTCAAGAAATAGAATCTCTTTATCCTTACCTGTAGCCCACACAAAGCCCCCAACCATAGCCAGAGGCCAAAACCGGGGGCAATTCTGGATTAAATTGACCACCAAAGAAACGATCCATATGGAGGCACAGAGAATCCACTGGAAGAACATGCCTATGGAAAAATCAAATGCACACAATAGAGAACTTGTAGAATACTGCATGTGTGAATCTCTTAACATACCATGTTTTAGATGAAATAGTACAGAAAAAATTGAAAGGTGGCCACCTCCTTTGTGAATTTCAGGGAACCACATTACAATGTATTCAAAAGATGTACTTTAGGGTAGGGTGTTATAATTCTGTCAACCTCTTCCTTACCATGCATTCTTTATACACAGCTGCAAAAGACACTTTGCTGGACAAAGTTTACACAAGCCCTGATTCTCAAACACATGAAAATTTTGACAGACTTCTGACAAAGAGGATATTCAGTTACTGCAAACTTCTCCCACCACCCTAGTAGCAGCTAACATGATGACTGCACAGGACAAAACTCTTTCAAAGCTCAGGGCTCAGGCTTTTCCACTAATCCAGGACACTGAGGATGATAAAAACTTTGGACAGATCTCTTCTACCTTTGTAGATTCTCTAAGGGTCAACTACGCAGACCAGTTAACTTTATGCCAGCCGAGCTAAGACTTTTGCTTTAAAGTCTAGCCTTGTCTTGGTAGGGCCATATTTGGCACAAAGAGAGAGGTTATATCCAGCCTGCAATGCAGATACTATTATTGCAGTAACATAATGGCTGATCTATTCATCTAGGAATCTGAAAATTGACTATGCTTCATATAAATATGCAAATACAACATGAACCTAGTACAGTAAAGTGATAAAATTCCAAGTAGGAAATAGAAGCGATTGTTTCCTCTTACAAAGTCACCAGATAAAAGTATTAAAATTTCAATTTTTGATTGTTTTTATGTTAGGTCCACAATTAAAAGGCAACACTCCAAAGTCCAACAACTTTTACAGTATAAATAACATTGTATGTGTTTGAGAATTCCCACAAGGGTAGAAGAAAGCACATTTCACTTTCCATTGTGAAACGTTCATGAAATGCACATCATCACTGTTAAAGTGCACACCACCACATAAAAAGACTCTTCTAAAGATTTGCCACATCCTGAACCAATACATTACTGCTTTATACCCTAACAATAGCAAAGAAAATTAAAACATGCTCTATGGATTAAGGCTGTGATGGTATTTATAACCCTAGCTATAGAAACTCATATTTGCTGCTAAAATATTATTCCTATTAGCAAAAATATCGAAACCAACAAAAGAATGTAAATAAGTTTACCATCACCAGTATCAAATTTCTTAACAGGCACAAAGTTTGTCCCAAATAGAAGGACAGCTACTGTGGAAGAGGTAAAGCCAATAGCTAGATCTGTTCCATTGCTGATGTTAAAGGTATTGTAAGCTTTCCCGATGTTCATCTTTGTTCTGAAGTTGCGTCTTTTTGTGGAGTTGTTTTGCTGCTGGTCCTGACAGATTCTGAAATCAGAGAGTGGAATTAAACATGTACAATATTAAATAATACCAACCTAGTTCAGAAATCTGAAACTTAAAGGACCCTACTTATTGATCTCTCAGAAGCTGGAAAGAACTGAAATGAATACTGTAGAGTCCCACGAAAAGCTGCCATAAAATGTGAATGAAGTAACTTAAGAACAGATGTACAAAAAAATCACTATTGTGTGTTTCATAATCAGCTTCACAGAAAAGCATGTCTGAAAACATACAACGCAATAGAGATACACTCAGAGGTTAAGAGGACTTGAATCTGTGAGGCCTATGGGAAGCCATGACGCTTTAGGGACATGCTCTATTAGAATATTCCTTATTCCGGTAGCCAAAGTGGGGTCATGATGGGGTGTGTAAAAAAGCAGGGGTTAGACAAAATCTTAATTGGCAGAAGAAGCTATAGCAATTTGCAGCCCCACTGCCTAGAAGTCAGGAACAGGCTCAGGGATTCTACAGATGCCACAGTAAAATCAATATAGGAACACAGGGTAACCACAGGAATTGCTCTAGCTGATACAAAACATGAATAAAGGCTCATTTTCTCTGTGGGGAACAAAGGGAGAAGCTGCCTCTAAAGTTTCTTTGTTTATTCCACATAACTATAATAACAAAGGCAAAGATTTTTTTTTTTTAATACCTCCCTTTTTTTTTTTGTGGGTGATTCATCTTGAGGTTACACTCAACAGAAGTACCACATATATACTTTTGACATGGATTATGACTTTGACAGAAACGGTGGCTCTGAGGACAACTCTGATAACATGATCTTTGCATACATAATCTTAATACCACACTTAAAAGACTACATATAAGAAAAGTGCTTGGAAATTTAACTTCAAATAGCAACAGGATACTTAACATGCTGTGAGTATAAAGGGGCATATTTGTAGAGATACACATGCAATCCTGTTGTCAAAATAATGCTATGTATACTGAATCAAAAGACATCCTAATGCAGTTTGACATTCCCCAGTGTAGGTGGACTAGCTACTGCCTGGAGGAAAAAAGCTGAAATAGGATGGTGGAAATTTTGCCAAGTCTTGTAAGGGGTGTTGTGACTACACACAAAAGGAAGAGCTGAGCTGCTGCACATTCTTTCATCTTATTTTACCCTCCAGTCTCACCTTCTCTGGAGTCCTTAGGAGACTGAGAACTGCATCTGCTGGCGCTATGCTTTTATCTACAGCTTCAGCAGGGCCTTCGTTGTCGGCTGAAATTAATTAATTTGCATTAGCAGGTGAAAAGTTCAAACCCACAACTAATATAAACATTTAGTTTCTATAATTATTCCCCTTGAAAGATGTCAGTATATGTTTAACTCGAGTACTTAGGAAAAACACAGATGACATTTAGAAGACACATCATGAAGGTACAATGGCACATTTATCTTGTTATCTTTTTCTCCTTCACTCTTCATCTTTCTTGGCTACTTAGAGGATAAGCTTCTCTAGGAAGTTTTCACTGTATTTAAGACTCTTCTGTAAAGTATGTTTTACCTGGGACCTGTAGACAGCAGTGCAAGTAATAATGCTGTGATCTCTTCAAAGACTGACTTCACAGGCTAAGAAACACTGTGACACCACAAGAATGGATTAAGACAGATGAAGGTTTACATCAGCTATCTTAATCAAACTTGACTCACTGAGTGAATAAATTTAATTCATTTAGTGGACAAGTAAGGCACAAGAGCTTGCTTTTGCACAGGAAGAACTTCATGCTGTTAATGACAGAAGTAAAGCTGATTACACTGCGCCTCTGTGAATGCAGGACTCTGTACATTAGCCTTTAAATAAGTTATGCAGGTGAAATACTAACAACTGTTCAAATTTAAAGTGGTTTATCAGCCTTTTTGATTTTTGTTAATGTTGAGAGAAATGTTACTTTAAAAATATGTCAGTTTTGTATCCACTGAGGGATCTACTGTGTGCTGTGGGGCAATATACTTTTCTGCTTGCTTTTTGTCTTCCAAAAATCTCTACAGTGTGCACATTGAAGACTGTTGCACAACTGGAGAACCAGAACTGTAACACCAAAAATGAAAAGGAAACCCAACTTCCAATTAACCAAAGAAGAGTATGCTTCATTCAGAGTGTTTAAAACTGTAACTTTCCAAGGTTTGGGGCACTTAGTCCCCAAATTTGGTTAAATTTCAGATTCAACTTTCAACTCCATTTTCATGCCTTCAAGAGAAAGCTCAACCAGGCAAGGTCTGGAGCTACCTGCTCTAACTTCAGTGATGCACTGCTTTAAGTAGGGAGTTGACCTAGATGACCTCCAGAAGTCCCTTCCATGCTAAATTATTCTACGATTGTATGAGCCAATGTCAAGAGCAAATAATGAACTGGCACACAGCATTAAGTTGACTACACTTTTTTGCACATGCTTGCACATACTTTGCACTTCAGAGAGTTCACTAAAAGCCTCTTCTCTTCTCTACAATCCTAGGTATTGCCAGGTTGACTTGCAGCGTATGTGCCTCCAAAGGTTTATAGCTACCAAATGCCAAACCAGAAGCACTTGCTGCACCTGCTGAGATGTTGGAACGCAGTGTTTGTATCTGAAAATGAAGCACAGACAACTGAAATTGTTGCTGTTATTGAAGAGGTTTTTTCACTAAGTAGCCCTTCAGTAAGAAGGGCATGTCAGGGTTCCCAAGCTGCAGAGGAATTATAATGGAATTCTGTTGGCACACATCGCCCTTATCTTACTAACTCCACTGGTTTACCTCCCTGGAAATTTGTGCTATTTTCACTGTTTCCTCAGAAACACGCCACCATTTTCTTCCTTTGCACAGAGACACAACAAGTTACGATGCTCACTCAACGAAGTAGCAACACATTGCTACAGTCTCCGCAGACAGGCAGGAGATCAAGAAGCCTGCCCTTGAGAGCATCCACTTCAAGGTAGATCCACACTGTTGTAAAGATCAGGAAAAACTGTCTGTGCTAATTGAACAGGTATTTTTAGAGGTTGCATGTCACACTGACTGTTTATTTGCGTGTTTCTCCTATCACCTATTTGCCATTAAGGGTGGATACTTTCATCCTTATTTTAGGAGACCCCTGTCAGTCCCAAGGCGGCTCAGAGTGCTGTCCTCAGGTGACACCGTGACCCCTGTCCAGCTGCCAGAGAAGCATTTCTTCGCTTCCCCAAGATGAACGCTTTTGAAAGCCGTTCTTTGGGCAATATTTTCAGTAAGCGGCACCACCCAACCAGGGAAAACGGACAGCTGAGCTCTGGACGCAGGCGGATGTCGCTTCTCCTATGGACACCAGCACGCCCGGGCTTCCGCAGGGCAGGGCAGGGCAGGCCCACGCTGAGGCGGGACTCGGCCCGCAGCCGGGGCAGGCCCAACCCT